GCTCTCCACAAAGAAGGGAAGCTCTGGCAAGCACTGGTTGCAAACATATGGAACAGGCAGAGACACCAAGAACTTCCAGGCAACTGTCAGCGTAATAGAAAAAGCAACTGCTTTTCTTTAGCCTTGTAATCAACTCAACTGGTACTTTAAACGATGCTATTTGCTACAGCATCCAAACAAAATGTGTCTAATTAAACAACACTGAAAACTATAGACAATGCTGGGGAAAATTAAAGAAAAACCTAAAAAACTGTAGAGGTATACCATGTGATGAATTAGAAGCCACAACTGTTTAAGTGTTGATTATAATAAAAGCAATACCTAGAATCAATGTGATCCAAATAAGAACCTAGCTGGTTCTAAACTAACACTGACTATGTACACGAAATATAAGGATATAAACTGTCCTAAAAGTCTTGCCAAAAACAAAACTGGAGGCATTACTCTATCTGATTTCAAACTTTATCATGGAGGACAGAGTTGAAACATAACTCTGACTTAAAGATGGATACTAAGTCATCAAACAGAAAACAAAACTCACGAGAGGCATACAAAAAATGAACAAGAGAAGTGCAGTGAATACATTTAATAGTAGCTTCATTTCTAATAATTAAAATAAGAAAATACACACAAAGAAGACAGTGAATGTTTGGATATTAAAACAGAATATTAATCAACAAGAAAAACCAATGAAATACTAATACTCAATCAAGAGAAATAAATTAATAATATGCCTCACAAACGCATCCAGACATGACAGCTATATTTTATTCCATTACATGAAATTTCCAAGAAAGACAACAATAAACTATGATGAAAAACAAATCCTAACAATTCTGGAGGTAAGTGACTAGGAAGAATTACAGAGCAGCTTTCTAGAATAATGAAACTGTTTTACATTCTGATGGATTGTGTATTACATAAACATATGCAGCTGCCTGAACTGAAGATATAAGCTTTTCAGTTTAACTCTTTCCTCAATTAAAACAACTGCATCTTCATTCAAAAACCTGAGTTGCCTCCTACAGCCCAAGTATTAAGAATACAAAACGTAAAGGTAAGACCTAGAAAGTAAGCCTTAAACATAATAAGAACTGTCTTACAAGCAAAGAAATGCAAAGTAAGTTGACCATAATAAAAATCAAAGAGAAAGCTTTCAAAAGCTGAGATGTCAACAAGACTATTGCAGGCATAAATACAGCATATACAAAAGAAACAAGAAATGCCATTGTGGACCTGGTGAATTAATATAGTCCAATATGCTTAAAATGAAATATGAGGAGAGTGTGGTAACCTGCTGTGAAAGAAGACTGACACAACTACTATTTTCATCCATGCAAGTAAGTGCATATTAGCTGTCCAGCAATGAGGACCTAATGACATCATTTTATTAAAGGAGTAAGAAGTTCTCATTTGAAAAAGATCGTTACAGAAACTAAGAAACAGAGACAGTTCAGGCTACACCCTGTCCAATGAGAGTTACTACAGTCTGCAGACTACTGGGTACAAGTAACAGTAGAATGTCTACACTTCTCAAGTGTCTCAGGCACACTACAATCTGGTCATAAAGCACACCTTCACACAGCAATCAAACAGTATCTACTCTGACAATAGAGTTAAAACTAGAAATCAAGGAACAGCAAAAACCAAAAGCTAGAAAATATCCTTCTATCAAATACCCAGAAATTAAACCATGCGCTTCCAAATAATACATAGTTCAAAGAAATGAAAGCTGTAAGGAAAGAGAATGTAATTAAAACTCAACTAGTGATACAATTAAAACACCGTTTAGAGAGAAACTTACAGTACTGGATACAGGTCAGACTAGAAGGCCTGAAATCAATAACCTAATTAAACTCAACACAAACATATGGAAAGAATAGGACCAGTGAGATGGCTCTGCCAGTAAAAGCACCTGCTACTGTACTGATGACCTGAGCTGAATCCCCAGGCCCACAGAATGAAAGAGAGAATGAATTCCTCCAAGTTGCCTTATAGTTATCTTTTTCAGCTACAAAGTTCAAGGCCAGCTTGGGCTACATCACACACACACACACACACACACACACACACACACACACACACATATATGCCCTATCACAGCAGAAATCAATGAACTGAAAATATAAATCAGGGGCAGGGGAGATGGTTCAGTGGTTTAGAGTTCAACTCCCAGCACCCACATCAGATGACTCACAATCACCTATAACTCCTGTGGATCAGATTCCCTCTTCTGGTCTCCGAACCACCCACGCTCACATACACATACCTCACCCACACACACACACACACGCATGTACACATAATCAAAAATAAAATAAACCTTTAAGAAAAAGGAAATCTTCTGAGACTGATACTCCAACCAAGGACCATGCATGGATATAACCTAGAACCCCTGCACAGATGTAGTCCATGGCAGCTCAGTATCCAAGTGAGTTCCCTAGGAAGTAGAACAGGGGCTGTCTCCGACATGAACTCAGTAGTTGGCTCTTTGATCACCTTCCCCTGAGTGGGGAGCAGCCTTACCAGGCCACAGAGGACGACAATGCAGCCAGACCTGATAGGCTAGGATCAGAGAGAAGGGGTGGAGGACCTCCCCTATCAGTGGACTTGGGGAGGGGCATGGGAGGAGGTAGGGAAGGGAAGGTGGGATTGGGAGGGCCTGAGGGAGGGGGCTACAGCTGGGATACAAAGTGAATAAACTGTAATTTATGAAAAAATAAATAATTTTAAAAAAGAAAAAGGAAATCAACAGAAAAAAACAACAAAACAGTTTTCTTAAGATATCAATAAAATCAGTAAGTCACTTTGGGAGGGAGGTAACAGACACAGCAGTACTCAACAGATAAAGTGTCAGTTTTATACGACAGGGAAGCTCTAGAGAGACCTGCTGTACAACACTGCAAATACAGTTTAACACTACTCAACTATAAACTTGAGAATGGCAAAGGTGGTAACTAAGCAACAAAACATGAGCCTATAGCCAGGCTAAGAAAAAAAGAAACTATTAACATCAAACATTAAAGCAACTCCAGGTGCATTTAAAGAATAATAATAAAAACAAAAACAACTGCAAAAGGCTTTGTGTCTGAATTTGGAAAATTTTGATGGAAATGACCAGTTTCTTGCAACATGCTGCCAAGACTCATAATAGAAGAAACAGATGATCTGAATAGGCCCACATCTATAAAAGAAAAACTGCCAAAGACTTTCTAAGTCTTCCAAAATAAAGGGCACTAGATCCTGGGGAATTCTAGCAAGTGTCTAAGGGGAAATTTATCAAATGTATCAATTCTCTCCTATCTTTTCCAAAAGACAGGAACAAAGACTAGTTCCTAACTCATTCTGAGGCAAGCAATAAAAAATACCACAACTAAACAATGATATTACAGGCAAAGAAAATGACAGACCACTCTTTCTCCTAAGTAAAAAAATCAAAGTATTATCAAATCAAATCTAACAATGCATGTAAGAATTCTACTGGGCTTTACTAAAGGCATGGAAAGCTGGCTCATCTCTCAGGCACCAATTCACGTACTCGTTAGAAGCAGGTCTCTGCAACCGGGCTGGTACAAGTTGGTGCACATATGCATAACTGCAAACGGTTATCCAGTTACTCACACTAGGTTTCAACACCTGCATTACAGCAGAACATAGACAGAGCTGCTGCCTTCTAGAATCCACAACCTTATAAGAGAGATAGACCCTGAACAAGTCACTACAGTCTACTTAAGAGTTCAACCTGGAGTCCCTAGTGCAGGATGGTGATGAAGACGCACTCACTATCTACGCTGAAAAACAGCGATGAGTTATGGCTAGAGTAAATATTCAGGGAGGATAGACGATGGTTCTCAAGCAAAGAAAAAGTGCTGCATTGTAAGTAAAGAAGGGAAAAACCTCACCTAGTACCAGTGGTAGAAGAGCTAAGATTTAGAATATGGTTCTGGTTTTACTCATCACTGAGTGAAAACGAAGTAGACAATTAGGCGTGGTGTCAGCAAGCCTATAAACACCAGTAATAGGGGAGGTAGAAAGCTGAAGCAAAAGGATTATCAAGGAGTTTAAGGCTAGCCTGGGCTACATAATAAGGATACAGGACAGCCAGGGCTATTTTAACAAGATTCTTTGTTGAAACAAACAAAATATAAATAAATATAAAGGCGGGAAGAAAGACATGAATTCAGTCTCTTACTCTCTCCAGCAGTAAGGAGGTAGAGGCAGGAGGATGTCAGAAAATTTAAGGATGGCCTGGTCCACACAGCAAATGTTAGGCCAATCTGGGCTACATAATGACAGCCTGCCACAAACAAACAAACATCAACCAAAAACAAACAAAAAGACAGAAAGAACACCTTGGGTGCTGAACCCTAATGTCAAGGACAGGGACAAAGATAGAAACCAACCAAATGTGTGCAAAGACACAATGGGGTATCCGGAAAAACGAAAGAAATAAGCAGCAGTGCATTCTTAGCACACACGAAGCCTTAGGGACAATCTGAACACACAGTAAAAAGCAGGAACGAGAGAAACACCACCGTGGTGTGCTCTTTTCTCTAAATACGGTTAAGATTCAGGCTCCATGCTCTCTAAGAACCCAGATGCTGGGCAGGCAGCAGTGATCCCCACACTCAGGAAGCAGAGGCAGCCAGATCTGTGAGCTCAACATCACCCTAGTCTACACAGTGAGTTCCAGGACAGCCAGGGAAACCCTGTCTCAAAAAAATCAAAAACAAACCAAATGCTAAACACAGTGTCTTTAAAAAAAAAAAAAAAAGCACTTAAAATCCAGTGCACACATGACCTTGACCACAAAATAAATGTTAGAAGGTAGATTTCTAAAATGAGACACAAAAACTTAATTCTGCCTTTCAAAGGTGGTAGCTGTTCACAGCTCACTCCGTCCATTAGAAGTGGTGAGCCTTTAAACTGCGACTTCTCTGGGGCGTGCAGGATTACCTATCATTCCTACTTAGCTCCCCTCTTACAGAGTTAGTACTTACAGGGACATTAAGTGCGTACTGCAGCCCTTGAGGAAGCCGCTCGTGAGTCTCCATCTGTTCTTCGTCATTCTTCACTGTCTCCTCGTGCACCATGAGTTCATCGTGTGATATCATGTCCTGTTGTCTCATTTCAGTCTCTTGTAAAACTTCATCTGCAGCTAGGATCTCCTGGTGAGGCAAACTTCGATCTTGCAGTACCGACTCCTGCAGCTCTCCAGACACGGCGGACTGGCCAGACACTCCACCCATTACAACCATTGCCCTGGAAGACTGCATTTCGTCTATGCCGCCACATTTAAGAAACAATCCTTCCAGTTTGTCGTCAATGTTCATGCTTAAGTATAACTGCCTAGAAAGATCAAGTGTGGCAACAAAGCATAACAAATTAGTTCATATGTCTAACTTGGTAGTTTTTTATTTCAAATTATAAAAGGTATATTCAAATAGAAAATTTTATCCATCTAATTCATGTAAAAATACCAAGACTGACTTCCAGAAGCTAAATAAGTAAAACAAGTTTTCATTTTGAAATTAAGGCATAATCTTAATCTATTTCATTACTAAAAATGAACTTTACACAAAACAGATTAGAGGAAGTATTTGTAGCTTCAGTTCAAAAACTTTCAGATTTCAATATATTATAGTGTTGCAAAATTTCAAACAATGAACTCAGTAAAACATAACCTAACAGAGAACCCTATACCAGGCAAACCACTAATGCAAACAAGGGTGCCCATAAATCCTAGGAAAGGCAGTGCTGCCGCTGGCTTAGTACAGCGCTTGGTTACACGAAAAGTCCTCGGCAGGAGTCCCAGCACCGCCTAAAATGGGCATGGTGCACATATGTGCCTAACAAGCCAGCCCAGTACCGCAGAGGCAGGAAGCTGCAAGCTGAAGAAGACTAGATTACACCGAATGAACATAACGTAACCCTCAGTCCCCAAGAGAAAGCTTACAAGTGGTAAGAACACTGCACTTTGGCTGCAGTGACCTCCTTTCTAACAACAGTGTTAAAGATAACCTTTGGTTTCATAATGTAAGACCAAAATGTATATTAAACTCCAATCACTACTAAAGTCATTTACTAAAGGTATCATCAAGGGAATGACTTTTTCTTAAATGAATACTTCATAGACCTTTATAAACAGCAGGATAAACAAAAGTCTGATTCAGACTTGCTTTTCTTGACTTCCCAGGCACCAGATGTAATCAGTCTGGAAGATATATGACCAAAGAGCAACATATTTGATTTTACTTCTCAAAATCTTCACATAGCAAACAAACTCTTAATGGTCAATTGTTTTAGACATATTACCAAATAGCTGTTATCTTTACATTCTGTTTGACACATTTCTTAGAGAATAAGCTGTTTATTTTAAAACTAAATGTTTAAAGTTGATTATTTAAATTATTACTATTTAAAGTTGCTAAAAGTTGATTATTCTGGTCAAGTCTTTGGAAAGCCTTGTAAACTATTTATGCTGTTTCTAAACTACCTACTGTTTTCTCAAAGACTGTGAAAAGCCCCCAACTTACAGGAATGTACACATACACAAGAGGAACTTTAGTGCCTCTCCTGCTGTCACATATAGCATTATTTAAATTTTAAAAAAATCTGGGCAGCGGTGGTGCATGCCTTTAATTCCAGCACTTGCGAGGCAGAGGCAGGCAGATTTCTAAGTTCAAGGACAGCCTGGTCTACAAAGTGAGTTCTAGGACAGCGGACAGCCAGGGCTACAGAGAGAAACTGTGTCTCTGGAAAAAAACAAAACAAAAATTTGTGAATTTTAGACAATATGGAAGACGTAAAAGAATTTTTTTTTTTTTTACAAAGTGGCTAAGGGGAAACTCAGTTTTTACATTTTACCAATAGAAAAGCATCCAGTTGACTCAATACACCATCCAGCCCAAAGTTTTCTTACAGGAGAGGGTCGTAACTGCCACAGGTTGATCAATAACCGAAAATTACATCCCTGTACATGTATCAACGGGAGAGGGGCAAATGAGCAAAGAAATAAAATACAGCATCAAGTTGAAACAGTAAGAATGAAGGAAACACTTGAGAGACAAGAGACGTTTGGGCTGGGGAGCACCAAGGGTTTCAGAAAGGGTCTGAAACAGGAAATATCGTGCTCAAGACAGAGTAAATTAAAAATAAGGAGAAACAGTTCAGGTAGAAAATAGACCCAGCCTCTCCAAAAATCTTCCTGCGAACAATTATATGCAAAGATGAAACGACTCTTCCTTCTCACCCAGGCTTACTTACTCCTACAATTCTAAATTAAGCCAAATACTTAAGACTTATATTGGGTGAATACAAATTGTGTTGAACACAGTTCCCTGCAGTATCAGAAAGCACCTTGGTGTCAATGATCACTGCTTAGACTGAAACTATCTAACAAAAGGAAAAAATGTGTACTCTTGACCTAGCATTTGGTTTGACTGTGAACTGCTCCCCTATGCCAAGAGGCTAATTTGTTAAAAGGTGGCACCTCAATGGGGCAGCATTTGGGGAGGTTCTAGACACCTTAACGCAGTAGGACCTAACTGGAGGAGGCAGGTCATGGGGCTGGGTCTTTTGGGAACAGTATCTCTGTCCTTCTCTACTTCCTATCTTCAAAACATTCCTGTGTTGTTTGCCCAAGACCATCATTCTTTCCTCCTTTTATATCCTTTTGTCAGGTATTTAAGTGGCCAAAAGTAACTGAGTGCTAGGGAGAAGGGAGATACCCATGTCTGTTTCTATGCACAGAATAGAATACCTAAGATCTACACAGAGCAATGTTTATTGCAACTTTTCAAGGGAAAACCACAGCCCAAGCACTCAATGATGGGAGACTTGAACTCACCCATCACACAACAGAATGCCTACTCCATTGAAGGGAACGAAATTAGCTGTCTATAATGATACCATAGGAGAGAAAAAAAAAAAGTTACGGGATTTCACAGGTAGTAAGCAGAATTTTTAATGCATGCATTTTTAAAGAATAAATAACTCTGATCAATTGTTACCATGGAGATTTTTCTTCCTGTAAAGAAACAACGGTGAAAACTTTGGAAAATGAACTAATATGGAAACCACTGGAAAAAAAGAAGACCAGTCACAGACCTCTTTCAAACCATGCACCAGCTTTCTGTTTGGAGTTTTGCTCCGGGGCTAGGGACAATGCAGCAGACCCCTGTTAAAGTTGCATTTAGGTTTGGAAAGTACAGTGAGGTGGAACCTAAGAGCTTTGTCTGAAACACTGTTTCCTATGCCTGTTCTGTTCTCTTCCCCCACAAGCTTGTACAGATAGAGCTCACTCACTCTCTGCCTCTCTCTCTCTCTCTCTCTCTCTCTCTCTCTCTCTCTCTCTCTCTCCCCCTGTGTGTGTATTCCTCTCTGTCACAACCACCAATCTTTCTTACTGACAACTGTTTGGCTCCTCTGTGAGAAACCATTGTTACTGTAGCAGCGTAGGTAATTCCATAGTCATATAAGGCTAGCATAAAGAAGCTCACGAAGAGAATGTCAATTAGCAGCCACCACTTTCTGCTTCAGGAAGAGATAAGCTGACTCTTACTGCCCTCTTCTAACTTAATGTCCTGAAGAAATAACGAAAAGTTCTTAGAAACTAAGCTATGTAGATTTACAAGGAGACACAAGGTAAAGGAGCTTTGAGTCAGTAATTTATTAAAGAATTAAAAGGTAGAGTTACGCTTTTGATTTGCTTTGGGTGTTTGTTTTTCCCTAGACAGGGTCTCTCTGTGTAGCCTTGGCTATCCTGGACCTCACTCTGTAGAGCAGGCTAGCCTTGAACTAAAGAGATCTGCCTGCCTCTGCCTCTGCCTCAAGAGACAGGATTAAAGGCATGCAATACTACACCCGGCTAAAATACAAGTTTTTAATACACACACTTGTCATAATTACTTCTAAGACTCAGGAAGTCTGGGGGTTTGCTTCAAAAGTTAAGAGAAATGTCACAAGCTGAGCATTACTCAGTTTTAAGCAACTATGCAGGACACTGAAATACTTTAAGACTTAGTTTTTAATGGAATTTTATGCAAGTAATATAAAAATATCCTTCTAAAGCCAGAATCATTACAGTATGGACTAGAGAGGAAGGACAACTGTTCTGTTGACAACTAATGTATGTGATGATTTACTAGGTACAAAGCATCAGGCTAGACACTGTTAAATATGTTACCTTGCTCAGTATTTTTAATAGCCCTGAAGACAGTAATCCTCAGTTAACCAAGAACTCAGGCCTACATATGGTCAAACAGCAAAGAAATAAACTGGAAATGATAATGAAACTCCTGATTCAATTCACTTTTTATTTTTACTACATAAGGACACTTGCAGACACAAAAAGGCCCTAGAACTGTCAAGAAGATGTTGAGCTCATTGTTTGCTCACTTACTACTAAGGCTAACTCCATCACCACTGCTCAGCTTTGCAAAGCCATCCGTCAGTCCTGAGTTCCCCTCACCTGCTCACTGCGCACCCTCACCTCTGCTCACATGAGAGCTTCCCTGTGCAGAATCTCCTTTCCTCCTCTGGGTGAGAAGATCCCTTTACACTTCTCATTTTCCAGTTTCCATTCATAGTCATACCTCCGTGAATTTTATTACCATGGAAAAATGCTGTTATTTCCACGATAAATATATATCCTCTTAAACTACCTTATTTCCTTTTTTTTCCTTCAAAACATAATTAAGACAATCTCTTCTGTATTTTCTACATCCAACTGGAATTTTTAAAATCCAATATATCGCTGATAAAAAGTAATACTAAAAACATACCTATGTCAAAGAAAAGATGGCTGTAACTCTGAACATGAGACAGATTTGAAAGCTTATGCCAAATCCTCTAGAATTCTTGAAAGCAATTAGCTCTCTTTCTGAATGTACATGGAATGCTTCACAGACACACACAACCTTTAATTAACCTGCACTCAAAACATTAAAGAATAAAATAAAATAAATTTTAAAACCTTATTCAAGATTCGGCTCTTCTGGTTTGTTTGTTGTGCTTGGTGTTAACATTATTTCCTGTTCTCTGTCACTGAGAAATATGAAACTTCAAAGGCATAGGAGTCAAAACAGAGTATGATGGGCAAGCTTAGGAACCTAAGTATCATTTTGTATTCTATGAAAAGAATAATTTCCAACTTAGACTGTTACTCTCCAAGGGTGAACACCAGAACCCACTCAACCTAAAAAGCAACTTCTCTTTAGCTGACAGTCAAATGTACTTATTCTAAAAATCAATTATTTCTCTGGCCCACCACCAAGGTGCTAGGGAAAGAACTCGGAGGTGTGTACATGCGAGGTAAGCATTCACCACTGAGCTGCATCCCCAGATCTCACAAGTGACTTCTGGATCAAAACATTTTCACCAAATCCCTGTTTATCTGCAGGATTTCAGTTACATTAATGTGGATATTCACAGTTCTACTCCATATGCAATTCAGAAAGAAATCCCAGTATTTCTATACTAGCTTGGGAATATGAGTATCAACCAACCGGCTGGTTGTGGTGCTGCATGACTATGATCCCAGCACATGGGATGCCACTGCAAGGTTAGTGCCAGCCTGGTCAAAAGAACAAGATCCTGTCTCTCACAACAAACAAAATGCGTATGTGGGTGGGTGCACCGGGGCAGGGGTGATGTGTATGATACACAGAAACCTCATAAGATCAAATCTGGTGAAATGAAGAACCTTTGCCCAGTTTCCACTTCATCCCTATGAAGTTTGCTATGCTCTCACACCCTTCAAAATACAGTTTCCATCTACTCAAAACTGTTGACCTCACTGAAAAAAAAAATTTTTTTTTCATGTCTATGTATAGTCTATATTGAGATACATTATCAGATTTGTCTTTTGTTGTTGTTGTTGTTTTTGTTTTCTTTTTTTTTTTTTTGAGACAAAGTCAGTTTGGCCCTGAACTCAAAGTAATGCTCCTGCCTCATCCTTCCAAGCAATGAAATTACAGGCATGACACCGTGTCCAGCTCTCAGGTACATCTTTATATAAATGTCATTTGGCATATTACAAAGCCTTTCTTGAAGACTGTATTTTTCAGTGCTAGTATTACAAAATAGCCTAGTAAAAGCTGTGTGTATAATGGCAACAAAACAAATGTCTTTCTGATTAGAGCCAGCAGCAACTAAAGATACTAAGGTAATAGACATAATTTAAAAGATAGTAATAAAATTATTAATTAGAGATTTTTTTCAGGATAAAGTTCTCCATTTTGTAAATACAACAACTTAGCTAAAACTGACCGTTTTTAAACATAAAAATAATCTATAAATATTTAAGGAAAGTTAACAGATATTCCTTTATAACAGGAAAACCATTCAAAAACCTAGAATCTAAGCACATAATATATTCCAAATATTTATCAAAATCTCTTCTAACTAACTACAATATAGTAGCACTGAGAAATTAAAACACTGCATTTCTGTCAACTCAAGTGAAACAAGTGTAATTTCTCTTTCTCAAGATGAAAATGACATGGTTTGGGGACAGGGGCACACACCTAGCAAGCACCCTAGTCCTGGTTACAGTGTACATGACATTTTGTGCCAGGAAAAACCTGCCGATTCCATTAGAAAACTGAATCCCATCATTTTACGTAGCACATATGTAAGAACTACTTCTTAAACTTCCTTAGTTACAAGGAGCAAATGCTTAATGCCTAATATTTTGTTTAATATTCTACATCACTGAACAGAAAAGGATAATAAGAATAAGCTGGAGAGATGACTCAATGCTTAAAACCACTTGCTGCTCTTAAAGAGGACCTTGGTTTGATTCCCAACACCTACATGGTGGCTCACAACCATCTGTAACTCCAGTTCCAGGGTCTCCAACATTATCTTCTGAGCGCTCTGGGTACCAGGAATGCACAAGGTGCATGTATACACTCAGGTAAAATACCCATAACAATAAAAGAAAACTCCCAATTTTATGGGACACATAGCTGCCTAGGTAACACTTATTATCCAGCCTCCATTACAGGCAGCAGTCAAATAACAAAGTTATAGCCAAAGGGATACAAGTAGAAATACACAAAATTCCTTTAAAAGCAAAGCAAAATGAAGCTGGAGAGATGGCTCCACAGAAAAATCACTGACTGATCTTTCAGGGAAACTGATTTCAATTCCCAGCACACACAGACACATCAGCTCACAACCATCTGTAACTCTCCTTCCAGGACATCTGGCACCCTCTCTGCTGGCCTCTGTAAGCAAGAGGTACACACTGTGCAAAGACATACATGCAGGCAAAACGCCCATAACACATAAAATAAGATAATAAATTGCACACAAAAATGCAAAGTGTTCTTCTATTTTCTTCTCTCCACTGGAAGGCTCTGCAGTAACCACACTCAACAAAATGCTGGAATCTGAATAGGGGCTGGAGAGATGGTTCCGGGGTTAGGAACACTTGCTGCTATTCCAGAAAACCTAGGTTGGAATCCCAGCACCCACATGGAGGCTGACAACCACTCATAGCTCCAGTTTCAAGGGATCCATTGCCCTCTTCTGGAAGAAATATTTTTTAAATATTCAGAATAACATGGGTTGGGAGTAGGACTCAGTGACAGGGCCTAATATACTCAGAATGAAAAGTGCTCTAAGCTCAATCATCCTCAACAACCTCACCCTATGCCACTCCACAAAGAACAGCAATGCCAAGCAAGGTGCTCTGGAGCTTCACAATTGTGGAACCTCCACACAACTATGGGATAAGCTTTCAGGGAGATAAAAATACGATTATAAGCTATCACCATATCCAATTCTACATGCTAATACATAAAACTGCTTGCTTATTTTACTATAGGTAAATACACAACACGGACAAGGTTAGAGTACTTTGTTATCTTTCTTTTCCTTTTGTTGTGATAAAACACTCAGACAAAAGCAACTCAAGACAAAGGGAGCTTATTCTGGCTTACAGTTCAAAGTGGGCAAGTAAAGGCAGCAGGCACTGGAATATACTAGTCACACTGCATCCACAGTAAAGCAGTGACCAATGAATGAAGCACATTAGCGCTCAGCTTCATTTGCCACATTTTATACAGTCCAGGATTCCCTGTTCATAGCATGGTCCCATCTACAATTGTGGTAAGTGCTCCCACATCAATTAATCCCTCACAGACAGTCTCAGAGGCTGACCTGAACCTTAATCTAGATAATCCCTTACTGGTAAACCTGGAGGTTTAGCTTCCAGGCCATTCCAGATCCTAAAAGTTGACAACATTAACCATTACATTTCTACCATTATTTCAAAAAAATATATGGCAGATACAATTATATTAACAGTCTAACTTTTTTCAGGTATAAAGTTTCTCTAGACACTCTAGGAAATGTAAGGTTGGAGTGGGTGTAATCTTTGTTAAGAAAGATTAACCAAGGAACAACCACTACTTATCATTACACAATGTTAGTTTCATTTTAAAAATTTCTTAAGCTGAACATAGTGGCTCACACCTTTAATCCCAGTACTTGGGAGGGAGAGGCAGGCAGATCTCTGAGTACAAGGCCAGCCTGATCTACAGAGTGAGTTCCAAGACAGCTAGGGATATGTGGAGAAACCCTGTCTTGAAAAACAAAATAAATAAGAATAGATATAGATAGACAGACAGATAAAAATATAAAAGTCTCCTCCAGATATAAAAATTCAAACTGAAACTATTTTACAAACCTAACATAAACTCTATCATCCAACAAAAAAAGTTTATGTATTTGGAAAAGTAATTTCTTCAACACTGCTGGTTTAAGAAGATACTCCAAACAATTGCCCAGTGAAAAACCATACACCAGTGACCTACATAATTAAAATGGCTACCTCAAACTGTGTGCTGTTTCTAATTCCTGACTTAACTAAAAGCAGATAAATAAAATGTACTTTTTCAAGATTATAAGAAATAAAGTTACCTGAGGCTGAAGTAAAAATGAATTCAAGGAAGGGAATGCTGTTGAGTTGAGAAAGAAATCATGGTGGAGTTTCTACCTTTCACAGGCTCCAGAAACTCTCAAGATCCTCTCAGTCACTTGTGCCATCCAATTCCTAGAATAGAATATATACACAATAAGCAAAATATATTATATTTGCGGGGGGAGCTGTGACACAGTATGTACAAACTGTGTGAGCACTGAAGAGATTATATGTAATCTAGTGAACAATGCCTGAATAAGAATGCATGGACTTGTAGGTGTGAAACTGAGAAAATATAATAGTAGCAGGTAGGAAATGAGAAACAATACAGGATTTTAAGAAAATCTGCCTTTGGGGCCAGAATGATGACTCAACAGGTAAAGATACATGTTGCCAAACCTGAGTTTGACTCCTGAGACCTACAAGGAGAAAGGAGGGAACTTATTCTAACAAGTTGTCCTCTGATCTCGACAAGTTATTCCTCCTCAATATGTTCTGTGCATGGGTGGGTGGGTGGATGGATGGATGGGTAAGATTTTAGGCAAATATAATCTGCTAGTCCTGAAATCTATGACTCTTGAGATATGAAATATTACATCAAATTTCAGAGAGCTACAGAACTAAAAGCTAAGAAAATGAGAAAAAAAAAGTAAGCAACCACACAAAGACACTAGTATCTAATTTGTTAGGTCTGTGGATTGGTGTGGCAATGTCCTAGCATAGAAAGACAGAGGTGGGTGGATCTCTTTGAGTTCTAGACTAGCCTAAACTACATAATGAGCTCCAGACCAGCTAAGCCTACATAGTAAAAACCTGCCCCAACCAAAAAAGGCTGTGAAGTCTGTCAAGTGAAAGAAGCAAACAAATACAGGTCTCAAAAATAACAGATGCCAAATAGCGTCTGTATTCACAATAGAAAGAGAACCATCTGAAAATCATATAAGCATCTATTTATGAAAATTTGATCATCGGAGCTATCTTAAGTGAAAAAAAGCTGACCAAAATATGGAAATTATCAGGCAGAAAATTTACAATACAACCTACACCAAAGAACACAGGCTATACAAAGACAGCAAGCACTTCCTGAGAAAAGTATCACGCTAATGGCTTTATGAAACTTTCTAACCTATGGGGTCCACGGACAGTTTGCATGGGATTTACAAAACAGCTTATGACTGCACATGTTTACAATGGTATAAAGGCAACAAGAATAATCTCGCCTACTTAAAGGAAAAACAGTAATAATTCCCCAGCACTCGAGAAGCAGAGTTTGAGGACAGCCTAGTCTACAGAGCGAGTTCCAGCCCAGCCAGGGCTATAGCAAAGCCTGTTACAACAAACAAAAGATGAACTTCTGAAACTTTTATAAGTATCTGAAAGTTAAAAGACAAACCTATTCATGCTTGGTATTCCACTCCTAAATTTTTCTGGATATTTATTATCATTTATTTTTCCCAACAAAATATATACAAAATAAAATGTGCTCTCTTATTCAACAGGACTGTTATCACACAAAACCAGTATGAAAAATAATAACATGAGGAGTAAGCCACATGAGAAGGAACAGTAACCTAGACATGCAATATTATATGTGTATAATATATATCATGCAAAATACCCATTTCAACAATCATAAGTCAATTAAAAATACCAAAAAATGTAACTCACTACTGGGTCAGCAGTAGAGTGGCTGCACAGCATGCATGAGGCCTAGGTTCAGTCCCTAGTACAAAAGAAGGTAACAGAAGCCAGGTGAGGTTCACACCTCGTAGATCTCTGTAAGTTCAGAGCAGACTGCTCTATACACATCCAGTACCAGGACAGTGAAGCCTAGATAGGGAAACTGTCTCAAAAAAGCAAGACGGATGGAAGGACGGGAGGATGGAAGGATGGACGGGAGGGAGGAAGGGAGGAAGGGAGGAAGGGAGGAAGGGATGGAGGGAGGGAGGGAGGGAGGGATTGAGGGAGGGAGGGAGGGAGGGAGGAAAAAGGCAGGCACGTATTCATCAAAAACAACAGGCAACATAAGATGTTTCTAAGTGTTCTCATGGAATGGTTTAAACAAAGATTTCAAATGTAAACATTTATTATGTAATGAACTCAACTCATGTTTCAACTTTGTTTTGACTATGAAAACAATCAGCTAGCAAGTAAAAATCCTTAATAAAGCAAAGAAATTTTCAAAGAACATATGGAAACTTGGGAATTGAAGAATACGGTTATTGAAATATTTGTATGCCAAGTATTCAAAACCAAATTCACAACTGCAAAAAAACGATTAGTTGCCTTAACTGTTCATCGATAAGACATTATCCAATTAGGGTTGACCAGATTGCTCAGTGAGAAGGGGTGCTTGCTGTGAAGCCTGCACCTGAGTGGAAGGAGAAAGCCAACTCCTACAAATTGTAATCTGCCTTCCATACATGCACAAACAAGAATAAATAAATGTAGCAAATTAATCTTTACTGAAAAGAAAAAAAATCTCAATTAAAATAGAGAAAAATGAAGAAGAGAGCTCCATAGATATGTAAACCAAACATCCTGCTTCCTAGTATTTCTTAATATAAGGATGAAAGAGAAAAGTAAAATTTGACAGTCTTGATGGTGCACACCCTCAATTCCGGTAGTGGGGGAAGGCGGGCAGAGGCAGGCTGATCTTCAGATCTTCAGATCTTCATGAGTTCCAGGCCAGCCTGGTCTACAAAGTGAGTCCAGGACAGGCAGGGCTATTACACAGCGAAACCCTGCCCGGGAGCGGGAGCGGGGGCGGGGGGGGGGGGGGCAGGGGGCAGGGGGAAGGAAGAAAATTTTAATAAAACATAAGCAAATATTCCCCAAATTTGACTATTTTTAAAAAATAAGCTTACAAACCCAGCATGGTGGTACACGCCTTTAATCCCAGCACTTGGAAAGCAGGAGCAGGTGGATCTCTGAGTTCAAGGCCAGCCTGGTCTAGAAGAATCCAGGACAAGCAGAGCTACACAGAGAAACCCTATCTTGGGAGGAGAAGGGAAAGCTTACAAATCCAAGATGCTCAATGAACTTCCTTTGGAAGAGATACAAATAGGCTTATTCCTAGATCCACCAAAATAAAAGCGTTGAAAGCAAACACAAGGAGAAAAAGATCCCAAAAGCAGGAAGGAAAGGGGCAGCATGTGTTGGAAACCATTGTGGTAGTATGAATGAGAATGGCCCAAAGGCTCATGTTTGAATACTTGGTCCCTAGTCGGTGGAACTGTTTGGAAAACATTAGGAGGTGTGGCCTCATTGGGGGAAAAAAAAATGTGTCACTTGGGGTAGGCTTTGAGGTTGCAAGACTAGGCCATTCCCCATACACTCTGTTTCTGGCTTGCTGTTGGAGATGAGAGCTGTTCCTGCCTCTATGTGTTTGCTATACCATCATGGATCTGCATCCTCTAAAACCAATTAAATGCTTTCTTTTATAAGTTGCTGTGGCCATGGTTTTTTATCATAACAACAGAAACAACTAATACAACCATCAAGAAGATTAATGGTCAATTTCCAACAAGATTAATGGTCAATTTCCAACCAGGAGCAACAGGGGTTAGAAAATGGGGGAATGTTGGTATAATGTTCTTGTGGAATGTACACAATTTACCCTTGTTCATTCAAATGCTGATTTCTCTACCCGACTATCTGGTTTCAATCTGGGCATCGCATTGTGATGTTTATTCTAAGCATCACCTGTCTCAAGTTTGTGTAAACATGCCACCATTTGTTCTCTGTATTTTCAATTAAACAACCAGCCAATGCTGAGCAATGGAGAGAATAGGGTGGGATATACTGGTCTGGAGGGGAGGAGAAGGAAGCGAGCCAGAGGAGGCGGAGAGGAGAGATCTGCAAGGACATGGAACCACAAGAAAAGATGAATCGGACCTAAGATACGACTAAAAAGAAAGCGTAATTTTGGAAATTCGGAATGGGAGGAGGCTATGCGGGCTTGGAGGTTTAGGATGGAGTAATCATTGTCCAGCATTGTGCTCTAGGTTAACTAAATACATCCCAGTCTCTGTGTGGTGATTTGGGATAACAGCTGGTTTAGGAACAACCGCTGTTTAACTAAAAGATAAATCAATAACAAATATTAATAGCTAATAACAGCGGAATCACAGACTTACAGGGGGAGTGGAAGAAAGGAGAGTAAAAGGAAAATATTGCTTATACATGCACATTCTCCAGCAGAGATCACACTAGTGTTAACAACAGCCAGCAGACTACCAGGCTAAGGTGTGAGGCCCTCTGCTAAGCAGTAAGCCTCAGTAAAATTAAACGGACTCGACTCCTACAAAATATGTTCTCCTACCATAACGAATTCAAATTAGACAAATAAATGTTCTATTACTTTTTATAAGTTGAATTGTTTAAAATATGAATTTATGGGCTGGGCATTGTAGCACATGCCTTTAATCCTAGTACTCTGGGAAGCAGAGGCAGGCAGAGCTCTCAGTTCAAGGCCAGCCTGTTTTACATAATGAGTGCCAGGCCAACCAGGGCTACACAGTAAGACCATGTATCAAAAAGATTAACAAACATAAAGTCTGAATTTACAGGTATCTCTCTATAAGGAACAAATGAAATGCAGAGATTCAGCTCTACATTTTCCCAGATGATGAGCCAACTATCCCGACTTGTTTAGCAGGCTGCTTGTTTCCTTTGATTGTTTGTCTGTTTGTAAGACGTGAGCCTTTCTTTCCATGTTTCTCAAATAAAGCAGGCTGACTTGAGTGCTTTCGGGAGATGAGTCAAAGAAACAAAATCCAATTTCCTCACCTGATTCCTCCAACTCTTCCTTAGCTTTCTTCTGGCTGGGACTGCAGTAGCAGTCGCAGCAACAGCCACAAATGCAGATGGTCAGCCAAGGAGCTACATTATTATTCTCTTTTTATATTTTTTAAACATCAAATTTATTATTGACTAAATTTCCTTCCTTCCTTCCTTCCTTCCTTCCTTCCTTCCTTCCTTCCTTCCTTCCTTCCTTCCTTCCTTTCCTTCCTTCCTTCCTTTCGACATGGTCTCAAGTAGCCCAGCCTGACCTCATATTTATGATATGTCCAAAACTAGTCCTGACCTCCTGCTCCTGCTCCACCTCCCATGTGCTAGGAATACAAATGTACAGCACAGTGTGTAACCTATTTACTACATTTTCTATGTACCTATTTCTGTAATCTACTGTTGACTTTTTAAGTATCATAGTTCACTAAAACTACTAGTATTACACATACCTTTTTATATCACCAAGAGAGAAAAAGAATGTCAAACTAGAACAAGTTAGGAATTTGGGTCATTCACAGAAATTATGATGTAGAGGGGAAAATACAGACATATGCTCAAGGGTGATAATCTCTTCAAGTTTGTGTAGAAATCTCCACTCGAATAAGAAATATCTGACCAATTTAGAAAATAATTAACTTCTATAAGACTGAAACAAAACCAAATGCTAAATGAAAATAATTTTACCAGCATAATGACAAGGATCCTACCCCTAATACACAAATATACCAAAAAAAAGTATAACAGGACCAAAACACCACATGGACAAACAAATCATTGGCTGGTGTTGTCAAAGAGATAAACAGATGCTCACTCTGATAACTACTGATGCTGGACATACCTTGGAGAGGGACACACTCATCCAAACTGTCAATCATCTACTCTTTGGCCCAACAATTATTCCCTTAGAAATTTAAGCAGTAGAGTCTAGACATGATGGCCAGAGTTTAGCACCCACACAAGCCAGGTATCCCTGCAAATGCCTATAACTCCAGCTTCAGGGGTGTTGGAGGGTGCAGTTTAATCAGGGTCAGGGAAAGGAAAAGGGTGGGAGTGCTGAAGAGGAATACTGATCATCCTCTTCTGGCCTCTGGACTTCTATACAGAAGCACAAACACCTCCAAGCTAGTGTACACATACACTCATGTGGTCAGACACATACAAATGAAAAAAAATGCTGACAAGAAGAACCGAAACTGTCAGTACATGTCAAAATATGTACACTACATGAAAAACTCTAAAACCTAAGTATCTATACATAGGTGGCCAATTAAAACAACCACGGTACACCCAAATACTAAGAATTATGAGAAGAAATGTCAAAATATGGGAGCTACTTTAAAATGCACACTGAAGTACAATATACATATAAACTATCTTCTAAAAAAAATGGAAATGTAGCCGAGTGTGGGGGCACATGCCTGCAGGGCCAGCATTTGGTTGCTGAGGGAGAAGTATCGCAAAAGTCAAGGACAGCTTGGGCTACAAAATGACTATGAAACCAGCAGAGACATGCAGAGCCCTTGTCTAAAAAAGAGTAAATAGGTCTTTTTGATGTCTGGGAGAACATACAATATTAACAAAGAATAGGAGAGAAGACCATTTTTCTGTTTGTTTTAACACTGTGACTTTCTCTACTGAATTATCATGAAGCTTAAGGTAAAGGAGATCTAATTAAATGAAAAGACATGGGCTTCACCTAACAACTCAGTAACATTAATTCTCTTCAGTGTATAGCCGAGCAAAACAGATGGCCCTGTCACGCTTTTCTTTGAAGTTTATGTTATGCATAAGCCATATACGGGCACTGTCCAGGAAATGAAGACATGAGGAAGCATGAGGACAACTGTCATATGTAAAAAATAAAGCCTGGATTAAAAATCATGAATTACCTCTATAAAATGTGTCAGGCAAACGCCCATCGCGCCAGGTCACTAGGCTGAATTTCCAAGCCACTGATTCTTCTCTTCTATCCTGTAAAAGTATGAAAATACAAGTTCATAACCCAAAAGAATCGAATCCAACACATTCTTACAGCTAGGCAAAATAGTTATAATTAAATGTGGAAAATCTACCAAAACATTTTTCATAAGTAAATGCTACTGGATTAAACATAAATCACAACCAATGATTCAGCTGTTAACAGCCCATCAATATTTATTAACGGTGGTAAGATGGACTTTTTCAAACTTCTGGTTATTAAGGATTGATAATGTCTTGCCATAAAAGTGATAAATTTTGAATCATTTTAAGCTAGAGAAAGAAAAAAGAAGCACAAATGTGTTGCCAGTATAAAGAGACTGGCACAGGAGGATCACAAACGAGCTGTGAACTGCTTGGGCTACTTACAAAAAAACTTGTCACAGAAAGAAATAAAAAGATGAAAACAAGGCATACACTGACACTCACGCACATGGTTCTTGATCAAACCCCACAACAACACTGCCTCTTGCTGAAATGGCTACATGTATTAACAATGTAGTTTGGGGCTGGGAAGATGGTTTAGTGGTGAAGAGCATTTACTGTTCTTGCATAGGACCCAAGTTCAATTCTCAGCACTCAAAGCCAATAACTCCAGCTCCAAGAGATCCAAGACCCTCTTCTGGATTCCACAAGCATCTGAACCCACCTACACACACACACACACACGCGCACACACACATGCGCACACATCATCATGGCCAACCTAGGCTACATAGTGAAATATAGGCTAGCCAGAGCTACACAGCACTATACTGTCTCCAAAAGAACAGAGGAGAATAGGGTATATAGCTGTCTAACATCCATGAGACCCTGGGTTCAGTACCCAGGACTGCACAAACACAGCGCAGTGGTGCATGTCTACAGCCCCAGAACTTGAGGAAGAGGCAAGATCAGAAATTCAAGATTATCCTTGAGTGCATAACAAGTTCAAGGCCATCCCTAAGCTATATGAGACTCTGGTTACTTACATCCTCTTTTCCTTGTTCCCCACAAAGAAGAAAAAAAGCAAATAAAAGTAACACAAACACATAAATTGTAAGGCAAAATTATTTAGTAATGTCAAAAATAGTCCATAGATATTTTTAATTTACATATAATAATAAACCTTTTAGCAAAAACTAAGCAAATTAATGTTCCATCTGTATTGTACTAATACAATACAGATTCACTCTTCATTAACTGGAATATTTTTTCCAGGTATATGAAACAAATGCTATGAAAATTAAAAGCTGGATTCTCAGATGCAGACTAGGCCAAAAGTAACTTAATAGTCAGAAACAACAGATGTGTCATTTTCCGTGTCAGCCTTAACACTGAGGTATCACCAGTGCATATGAAAGCCCAAAGCTGATGTCAGTGCCTTTCTCATTCAGTCACCACTTTATTGAGGCAAGGTCTCCAAACTGAACCTGGACCCGGACAATTTGAATAGGCTAGCTAGCCAGTTTGCCCCAGGAATTCCTTGCCTCTGCCTCCCAAGTCCTGGGATTTCAGGCAGCCACCATGCCTGAACTCAGGTCCCAAGCATTTCACCTATTAAGCCATCTCACCACTCCCCTAAACCATTTTTAAGCCTTGGTAAGTATCCTATAAATCAATGAAAGTCATCAATGTAATATCTAGGAAATAAGTAATTAAAAATTCTGTTGATGTAATTTTATCAAGGGGTTTCAAAGAGTTCCTTTTCTGATACTGTATCATTTTATAGCTAGTGAGTGGCTCAGCTGCTGACCTAGTTGTAATTATTTTCTCAATGTACTTAAAAGTAATTCATTTTATGGGACAATGATGTAGCTGAGTGGTAGAATACCTGCCTAGCATGCTCAACACCCTGAGCTCATTTGCTAAGACTTTTCCTGGGAAAGCATCACACACACACACACACACACACACACACACACACACACACACACACACACACACACACACCCTACTCACCCCAGATAGAGATCCCATGATAGACCAAAGCTCACCCCAGCATGGGTGACTTGCCCGGAATCCCCTAAACGGCTAAGATTCACTAGGTCTCTCCGTGACAAAATAAGCAGTAAAAGAGGAAAAGATGATTCTCAGGCAAGCCAAGCTGCAGAGACGCCAGAGACCAGAACACCTGCTGTACAAAGCAGAAACCAGCCGGGCTGCCTAGAAGAGGTTTAGAGCAGCTGAGCCATTTGGAAAGGACGCTCTCCAACCTGGTGAGCTGCCTGTAGGTTGTTCAGTGTGCTCCAGGTTCCCAGCGTTTGTGAGCTGCCATCCATGCAAGCCAGGTGGGCTTTGAGGATGCAACTGTCTTTTGAGTTATTTCTGCTCCTGTAAGTAACCCCAATAATTCACTGGCTCACCAAGGTGGATTCTGGCGGTATCCATACTCTGGTCTGTGGTGGGATGCCCTAAGTCGACAATTCAAAAGAGCCGATATGCCAGTCGTCTGAACCATCCTTCTTATTACTGTTGGAACAAAGTCCTACTGCCTTATCCAGGCTAATCTCAAATACCTGAGCTCTGGCAATCCTCCCACTTCTGCCTCCAAACATCTGGGACTCTAGAACACTCAAATTATTTTTACATATGGAAAATTAGGAGCCGTGCAACTCAAACCTACAGTGGGGTATCTGCATTACACTACCCTGCCACTCACCATTCCTTTCTATCCTACTAGAATACACATTCTCTCTATCTATATCTACCATCGTACTCAATTTTCACAACTGTTAACTCAACTGCCATGACTATATATAAAAAGAGCTAAAGCCTATATACAGAAAATAAAACTTATCAAATTGTAGATTTCTGGGGCTAAAAAAGATGGTGGAGAGGTTAAGAGCACTTGCTCTTACATCATACCCAGGTTCGGTTCCCAGCATGCAAATGGTAGCTCACAAACCATCTGTAACTCCAGTTCAGGGGATATGATCTCCCTTCTGAGCTCTAAGGCACCACGCACACAGCTGGTGACATATACAGGCAAAACACTGGTACACACCCACACACCCAAAAAAGAAGGAAATTTAAAAACATATTAACACATGTAAAAACGTGTTTGATATAGCTCCTCCACAATCAAGATATTATTACCATCTAACCAAAAAAATGTGTTAACAGCTATTGTTTAGAGGAATGGTTCTGAAATGTTAAAGTTCCATAGAGTATTTTCATGAAAAAGGATACTCACCTTCTAACATAACTTTTTACTCAACATACCAAATAAAGTTCTGGCAGATCTAAGAATATAACTAGCTTTATTTAAAAAAAAGAAAAATAATGAAGAAGAAAACAGAAACATGCTGCACATAACACAAAATACAGTCTGTAATCATTAATATTTGTGTGGTATCTTTCCCATCACAAATTATTATTGTTACTGTTATTATTGTAAAAGAAAAGATGTGTGTGGACGGGCAAGGTGGTGCAAGCCTGTGGTCCCAGCACTCAGGAGGCAGAGGCAGGCAGATCTGTAAGTTCCAGGCCAGCCTGGTCTACAGAGTGAGTTCCAGGACAGCCAGGGCTGCACAGAGAAATCCTGTCTCAAAAAAGCAAAAAGAGAGAGAATGTGAGAGAGACAGGGAAGGAGGGAGGGAGGGAGGGAGGGAAGGAAAACGGAGGAAAGGAGGGTATGTTTGCAATCTCTGAGCTTGCTGGTAAGGGTTCTGATGACTGAGGTAGGAAGCCCTGCCTGTGAGTAGCGCCCCTGCCAGGGCTGGGCTCTGGACTGCATAAAATGGAGAAAGAGGACTGAACACCGGTTTGTACATTCAGCTGTGTCCTGACTGTGGATGTCATGTGAACACTGCTTCAAGAGCTCCTGCTGCCCTGACCTCCTTGTCATAGTGGGCTGTACCTTGAACTGTGAGCCAGAAAGTAAGCCTTTCTCTCCTAGGTTGCTTTTGACCTAGTATTTTATTACAGCAACAGGAAAAGAAAGAGACACTGTGCAAAGGTGTTTACAATCTTGCAATGCTAAGTACATACACAGTACACATTTGGATAATAAAGTTCTGGGTCCTCTAACACAAGTTTAAGCAATTTATCACAGGAAACTCAGAGTGAGAACAATTAACCTGCCTCTGCTAACTTTTCAAAACAAAAAGGATGACCTTTTAATGCTGATCTCAAATACAAGAATGCTGAGAATATTATTTAGATTTTTCTGAGCAATATTTGCAGGAACTTACAAGTATCCAAGAAATAAACCTGAAACTGATACAGGAGTTGAGTATCTCTGATGTGAGACTTAAAATGCTCTAAAATTTCAAGCATTGTGTGAATTTGATGCAAATAAAAAATTCCATACCATAATCCAAGCACAAAATTAGTTTTAAAATATATAAAATTGCCTTCCTTTTTTTGTACTTTAGGTATACATAAAAAAAAAATGAATGAATTTCGTATATAGATTTAGGTGTGATTCCCTAAGATATCTCATTATGTGTATGCAAATAGTCTCTCATTAGAAAGAGAGGGGATGGAGGGAGGGAGGGAGAGAGAGAGAGGAAGAAAAAGGAAAGGAGGGGAGAAAGAGGGAGGGAGAAAAGGGGAGGGAGGGAATGGAAGAGGAGGGAAAGAGAAAGGGGAGAGGAAGCGAAGGAAGGAGAGGGGAGGAGATAGACACACTGCACCACCCAAAACACTCCTGGTCTTGGGTACTTCAAATAAAGGCTACTTCTGTTACTATTCATTACTCATACTTACTACTCAAATTTTACAAGAATGCTGAAGGCTCATGTAATTTACATGACAAACAAATTTACAAACAAACAAACCCCAACTAGTAAGCAGCAGGACTCGATATTTGGAAATTTCCCTTCAAAGGCTTCCGGTCTTTACAACAGATTCTAGAAGCGTATGAGTCTACTTAAAATTTATGAATCATTGCAGCAAACATGCTACCATGAGTCTTAGCTTTGTAAAGAATAGTTCGGTCCTCTCTACCTTGCCATTTTAAAAGCATGATGTTGAAGAATAACTGAGTACTACAGAACTTATTTTACAGT